GCTGGGCTCATCTCTTTGTTTTCTTATCCTTTCATGTCTCAGACCAATACTTTCTCATTATCTTATTAGTTCTTTGATTTTTTTTTTTTTAATTGTGATTTGGGTGAAAGTTTACAGAGCAAATTCATTTTCTGTACAGCAGTTCATACACATTTTGTTTCGTGACATTGACTGCAATCCCCATAATGGAACAGCTGTCTTCCCATTTCCTCCCTGTAGTTTCCTCTTCCCTGTGTTCTTCTTTCTTGTGCATTCCTGCCCCCTGCGCTATCTCCTTGTGCAAATATGGCCCTTCTGTTCTGTTCTCCCGTGGTTGATTATTCTACGAAGTGTACCCACCTGGTGTACACATTCACCTTATATGCCTGTCTGTTGTTTGGCTAGAAGCCACAGGAGTGAGTTCAATTCCAGGCCTGAAGGGTGACTAGGGGCCATAGTCTAGGGTGTTTCACCAATCTCTATCAGACCAATAAGCCTGGTCGTTTTTATGATTTTGAGTTTTGTTCTACACTTTTCTCCCATGCTATCCAGGATCTCCTGCAAGTTCGTTGATTTTAAAAAATATGCCTTCCAGCACTTTTAGTTGTCTCCAGATCAATTATTTAGTCCACCATTGTTGAAAGAGGAGCTCAATTACTAACTCTAATCCAGTTGCTTCTTCTGACTCTAGCTCCACTTATCTAGTGGCTCATGTGACACCTCCATTTGGCTTTTCAAACTCAGTAAACTAAAACTATTTTCATCCCCCCAAAAGCCCTGTTCTTCAGCTTCTCAACTAATGAGGGGATACAGTGATATCACTAGGGTTGGTGTCACCCAGTGCAGTAACTCATGGGGTCACATCCCAGCCCCCCACCCCCACCATGGACCTCTTCCCCTACCAGATCTTACAGAACCCTTAGTAATGTTTAGTATCCATTTTAATCACAGAGTAGTATGTTGACAGATATCATTGTAAATTGCTTAAACGTAATAGTTCTTGTTGTTGTTATTTGCCATCGAGTCGGCCCCGACTCATAGCGACCCCTCTTTGGGTTTCCGAGGCAGTATCACTACAGAAGTAGGAATGCCCAAACTTCCTTCCGAGGAGTGGCTGGTGGGTTTGAACCGCCAGCCTTCTGGTTAGCCGTCAAGTGCCTTAGGCACTATGCTACCAGAGCTCCTTATAAATGTTAACAACAAAATTGTTTTCTAAAATCTTTCTACATTGAATTATAACATTATTAGTTACAATATTATTAGTAACTAAGCAGAAGTTCTTTTTATTTTTCTCCCTCTTTTCCTTTAATTACTGCTTCATTCTCAAAAAAGTTACCAGTATAGGTTCACAAATACTAATTATCACAATATTGTAGCTAAAACACCAGAAAATTTGACAATCAATGACTATAAGAACACCAGCACCAACAAAAACAACAGTGTGTGTTCATAGAGTGTGTTTTAGAAGGTTCAAAAAGTAAATTAGCACAGTTATAGCCTTGTAGATATATTAATAGTGCTAAGCTGGACTTACTAAAAATGTTTTGTTGTTATAGCTAATTAAAGGGATTTTTTTTTTAATTCTGATTTCGGTGAAAGTTTACAGAGAAAATTCATTTACCATTCAGCCGTTCATACACATTTTGCTTCATGACATTGATTGCAATCCCTACAATGTAGCAGCTCCCTTCCCACTTCCTCCCTGTGGTTACCTTTTCCTATGCATTACTGCCTTCTGAGTTATTTCCCTACCCAATGGTGCCCTTCTGATCTCCCATGATTGATTGTAAGGAGTGTACCTACCTGGTGTAATTGTTCACCTCATAGGGCTGTTTTGCCTGGAAATTAAGCCACGGGAATGAGTTCAATTCCAGGCCCAAAGGGTGACTAGGGGCCACAGTTTCAGGGGTTTCACCAGTCTCTAACAGACCAATAAACCTGGTCTTTTTTGATTTTTGAGTTTTGTTCCACATTTTTCTCTCACTCTATCCAGGATCTCCTATACTGATTCCTTTCTGAGTGGTTGACGGTGGTAGCAGGCACCATCTAGTTCTTCTGGTCTCGGGGTCATGTAGGCTGAAGTTCCCATGGTCCGCTTGTCCTTTGGACTGTTTCCATGTGTCTTTGATTGTCTTCTCTTCTTTGCTCTGGTTGAGGAGAGACTAATTGTTGTCTCTTAAATGGCTGCTCACAAGCTTTTAAGACTCCAGTTGCTGTTCACCAAAATAGGATGTAGAACAATGTTTTTGTGTAGTATGTTATGGCAATTGAGCTTGATACCCCCCATGACTGTGGTCCCGAGACCACAGGCTCAGCAACTCGCTACCCCACTACCTCAAGGTGTTTGGCTGTGGCTAAGAAGTTACAACTTGCACTTGTTAGCTCTATTTTATATATCTGTATTTATATTATATATATATAAAATAAATTTCCAAAAATTTTATAGATTATCATTTTGCTGTTAGCCCCTCTGACAGTGTCTCCTGGAGAGGTCTTCATCCTCTGAATCCCCCTAGTGATGCCACTGGGTCAATGTCACCTAGCATCAGTTATTTGTAAACTGTCTTTCTTTCCCAAACTCCAATTAATTTTACTTGCAAACCATCTCCCCATCTCCTATCTACTTCCATTGCCTCTGGAACCTCCCAAATAAGTTAAAGACATTATATAATCCTGAGTCTGTCACACAAAAGTTTTCATGATCTGCTCTCAGCAGCAGCTTCTCCTTTCTATTCAGTCCCACATGCAAACACCTTACTTTCTAGATCAGATTAAAAACAGCCTCCTACCATTTGCAGGCAGGTAATGGAATGAGGGAAGCAGGGTAGGAACTATGATGAACTATTGTTGTTGTTGTTATGTGCCGTCGAGTCAGACCTGACTCATAGTGACCCCTCCTTGGGTTTCCAAGGCAGTATCACTACTGATAGTAGATTGCCCCATCTTCCTTCCAAGGAGTGGCTGGTGGATTTGAACCACCAGCCTTCTGGTTAGCAGTCAAGTGCCTTAGGCACTATGCTACCAGAGCTCCTATGATGAACTAGACTCATCTAAATGAGCTAAGGGATACTTTGTTCCAATATTTCAAGTAAAGCCAAAAATAGAGATATTCATGTACCATCTGCTATTTTTTTTTTAATATGGAAAATGAAATAAAATACAGAGAGAAGAGTGAAGGCCAAACAAAACACACCTGCCATCTGAATTTGGCCCATGGGCTGCTATTTGCAACTTCTGCTTTAAACCATAAGAATATAAAAAATTCTCCTAAAATTTCATATATAGGAAAGATACTTCAGTATTCTGCTATCTCTGCACAGAATACCTTTCTTAGCCTTATACGCTTGTTGAATTATTTGTAGATTTTCCTGACCCTCAGTCCAGCAGAATTCATAAATCTCATCCGAGCACCTCAGCAATTTATCCATCTCTCTATCATAGTGCTTAACCACATTGTATTATGCTCTTTGTCAAATAGTCTTCTTCAAGGGCACGAACTATATATATTCATCTTTACACCGTCAGCACCTAGCCAGGAGCTTGAGGCATAGTAGGTCCACTGGAAATGTTTACTGAATGGATACACGAAGTTTGCTGATCTCTGGTCCCTGGTCCTGCGGAGGCACAGGGTTGGAGAGGTTAGCAGAGCAATGACTCCCACTGACCATTAGAGGGCAGACTGGTTCCACAGACGTCTGGACCAGACGCCCAACTGTCCCACGCCCCAAAACATTATCCCCAATTTACACCTTCATAGGTCATTTCCAACACCATCTCACTGCCACCATAGACAACCCCCCCCATCTCAGCGATCCTCTCTGGTGGCGTAGTGCCTAAGGCTCTTGACTGCTAACCGGAAGGCTGGCGGTTCAAACCCACCAGCCACTCCTCGGAAGGAAGGTTGGGCAATCTACTTCCATAGTGACACTGCCTCGGAAACCCAAGGAGAGGTCACTATGAGTCGGTCCGACTCGACGACAAATATCAACAACAACAATAACTTCTACACATAGCAAACATTCACTTTCTCAGGAGTAACCCCGAGGTCACACCTTTCCACCCACCACCTACCCACTGGAAGGACCAACTTCCTTCAACCTTTTGGGAACTAAAGAATTAACTCTGTCCTCCTACTTGGTACTTTTTCTCCGATGATTTTGCAATCCACTCAAGCTGGAGGGGTGGTAAAGGAGAAGAAACTCATAAACAGACGGGACTCTGGCCCGCCTTCTACTTTAACACGTTTTCCAGAATACCATCACCCTTTCGCCCCACCCCCAAACACACACATCCACACACTCACACATTCTTCTGCCAATATCCCAAAGTAGAGCATCATTCCCTCTTCTCCAGAAGGAGCCAGGTGGGCGGGGAAAGACAAAGTGGGGCGCAAGGGCCGTGGTTTCTCCCACATACACCCAATTCAGTCTCCCATACCATCCTCGCGAGGGAAGCCCCTTCTGCGGGCGCCCATCTCCGAGGAGGAAAACGATGGGCTGCCTAGATGAGGAAAGAGGTTCTAAGGAAAAAGCTCGCAGGCCTGGAGGTGGGGTGGGAGGTTAGCCAGAGACTTCGCAGCGGCGAGGAAGGAGTTAAAGATCCAGGATTGGCTCTTCTGCCACCAAGTCTGGGAGGGGAAGCGGCCGGGAGGAAGGGTTTGGAGCTAGTTCTCCTCTGTCCCCCCCGGACAGCTAGAGACTTGGGCCTGCCGGACGCCCCTTCTGGCACAGTCCCTGGCGCAGGCATCACGCACGCATTCAAAAGCTCACTCTCCTGCTCCTTCCCTCCCTCGCGCTCTCTCCAAGCCTCCCCAGTGCGCGCTCTCTCTCTCTCTTTTCCTCTCTCTCTCTCTCTCTCTCTCTCTCTCTCTCACACACACACACACACACACGCACACGCACACACACACACTCACTCAGATTCTCCTGGCTTGGGACCTCTGGATCCCCCGCCACCTGCTCTGCAGCGCCCTCCGCTTGCCCGTCAGTGGTGCTCCCAGCCCGGTACACGACCGTCCCCAGCACGACCCTCACTCTCCCGGCCCCGACCGTCGCAGCCAGAGACAGCAGCGTGCCTCGGGGTGAGCGCCCCCGCCCTGCTCCTCCTCCCTCCTGCAGGGGCGAGCCAAGTGCCGGGACTGGCCGCTGAGCCGGAGTGGACCAAAGAGGCCATGGTGGTCGGAGCGCTCGCCCGCGATGGTGCCCGCTGAGGCCATGCCCGGCCCCGGACGCCCGATGGGCGCCAATCTGCGCCTCCTTCTGCTCCTGCCGACACTGCTGCTGCTCAGGGGTACCTACGCTGGCAACCTGACGGTGGCCGTGGTGCTGCCGCTGGCCAATACCTCGTACCCGTGGTCGTGGGCACGCGTGGGGCCGGCGGTGGAGCTGGCCCTAACTCGGGTAAAGGCGCAGCCTGACTTGCTGGCGGGTTGGACGGTCCGCACGGTGCTGGGCAGCAGTGAAAATGAGCTGGGCGCCTGCTCGGACACCGCCGCGCCCCTGGCCGCGGTGGACCTGAAGTGGGAGCACAACCCCGCGGTGTTCCTGGGCCCGGGCTGCGTGTACTCGGCCGCCCCGGTGGGACGCTTCACAGCGCACTGGCGGGTGCCGCTGCTGACCGCCGGCGCAGCTGCGCTGGGCTTCGGGGCCAAGGACGAGTTCGCGCTGACAACCCGCGCGGGACCCAGCCACGCCAAGCTGGGCGACTTTGTCGCGGCGCTGCACCGACGGCTGGGCTGGGAACGCCAGGCGCTCGTGCTGTACGCCTACCGGCCGGGCGACGACCAACCCTGCTTTTTCGTCGTGGAGGGGCTGTACATGCGGGTCCGCAACCGCCTCAATATCACAGTGGACCATCTGGAGTTCTCCGAGGGCGACCGCCACCACTACGCAGCCCTGCTGCGAACTGTGAGGCGCAAGGGCAGAGGTGAGTGGCAGGCATACAGCGCCCGGTGGTTTGCTTCCAGACCTTCTTTTTAAGCCCATGGAGGCTTAGGGTTTCTCTTCTCACCTAGTGGCTCTTCATTCTTGTCCCAGGCTCCCTCGACCCTTCTCTCCTCTCACTTCTTAGACTCCTCCATCTCCCCCACTTGTATCCCATCTGGCTCTTCTGCAGTTAACCCATTGCTGTCGAATCAATTCTGATTCACGGCGACCCCACGTGTTACAGTGTAGAACTGAGCTCCACAGGGTTTTCCTTGACATCCACCTACCCCTTACTTAGGGAGCTTTGGTAGCTCCCTAAAAACATAACAATAACAACAGCAACCCCTTACTTATCAACTGTCTCCTTATCCACCTTTTGCATTTAAGACCATAGTTATGTTATGTTATGTGCCCTGGAGTTAGCCCTGACTCATAGTGCCCCCTTCTTGGGTTTCCGAGGCCATATCACTAAGTAGATTGCTCAACCTTTCCTCCGAGGAGTGGCTGGTGTGTTTGAACCACCAGCCTTCCTGTTAGCAGTCAAGTGCCTTAGGCACTTAAAAAAAAAAAAAAATCTACTACCCAACTATTTAGTTAACTACATAGGTCTGGCAGTAACCAAAGCAGAGATGTGAGGCGAGAGCAATGCTGGCTGTGATGGTTAAGGTTATGTGTCAGCATAGCTGGGCCATGATTCTCGGTGGTTTGGCAGTTATTTGATGATGAAGTCATCCTCCATTTTGTGATCCGATGTGGTCATCCTCCATTTTTGCATAATACCAATTTTCACACAACACCCTGGTTTTCAGAACATAATCCGTGGAATAGTGAGGAGCAGGTGGTAATCTTTTACAGAAGCAGATTATCAGGCTTTTCTTCAGTGCCACCACTGGGTGAGTTCAAATCACCAATCTTTATGTGGTAGCTGAGTCAATAGAAGGAAATATGCTCTGTGTCACCCTGGCATCTAGGTCCCTGGCTTAGTTCCCATGCCTTTTTTCTCCCCTATTTTCTGTCCCTTAATAGCCTTTTCCCTTCTTTCATTCCCTCCTGCCATTGCTCCCCCACACGATCTTCTCTCCTAGTGCCCTCTCCATCTGGCTCATCTTGTCCCTCTCTCACCTCTCGTAGCCCCACCTTTCCCATCTGCAGCTCCACTATTCCCACCTTTCCCTCACACTCTGATCTTTTCACCCTTCCACCTCTCCACATCTTCTTTCCACCCTTCACTTTTCTCCTGCCACAGCGTGGACTGAGCAAGGAGTTACCACTTAAAAACCACAGGGAGTCTGTTCCCAATGTCTCTCCTGCTTCCATCTCTGAGCTTCCTCTCCTGGGGGTCTTAGCTTTCCAACCTGGTATCTTCCCTGTCCCTCTCTCCCAGGATCTATGCTTCTCTCTCTCTGACTTTCCCTTCTCCCCCAGTTATCTACATCTGCAGCTCCCCAGATACCTTCAGAACCATGATGCTCTCGGCCCTAGAAGCTGGCCTCAGTGGGGAAGACTACGTTTTCTTCCACCTGGACCTCTTTGGGCAAAGCCTGCAAGGTGCACACAGCACGGCTCCCTGCAGGCCCTGGGAGAGAGGGGATGGTCAGGATGTCAGTGCCTGTCAAGCCTTTCAGGTAAGTGCCCAGGTTGGAGGCTCGGGTTGTGGGATCTGAACTGGTGACATGAACACTGGGTCCCTTCATGTCTGAGAGGATTCCAAGAGGTTCTTAATGTTCACAAGGATCTACATGATGAAGAGCAGGGGTTAAGAGTGAGGAGGGTACAGATGGCTAAAGTGGGGGCAAGGTTGAGCACCAGGAGGCTAAAAAGATAGGAGGAGAATGGACTTGAGGTGGAAGGACATCAAAGTCCTAAAGACTGGATAGGACTTAGAGAAGCCATCCCATCAGATCTTCTGCTGTGGGGCAGGTACTACCTCATACAAAACATAGGGGCTAGTTTGACCTTGAACTAAGCAAACATACAACTCTAGGAGGTGGGCCCTCAGAAAGCTGGGACCCCAGGATGCTAGGAGGACTGGAGTCTGCTCCCAGCTCTTGCCTCTCTACTGACCCCTTCCTCAGGCTGTCAAGATCATTACATACAAACAGCCGGATAATCCTGAGTACTTGGAATTTCTGAAGCAGCTCAAACACTTGGCTCATGAGCAGTTTAACTTCACCATGGAAGATGGCTTGGTAGGAGGGGGTCCCTGCCCTGGGACCCTCCTGGCATGGACTTCCAGCCCCCACTCCATGGCTTCTGCCAATCTCCACCCTGTCCTCTCTGTTATCTCACTATTCCCAAGTCTCCCCTTCTCTCCCTTCCCATCGTTCGCATGTGTCTCTCCTGATGACGAAGGGGGACACTGGCAAGTTGTTTAACCTCTATGAAACTCTGGTCTTCATCAGTAAAATGGGGACCTCCCTAGAAGTGAAGACATCATAAGAAGTAAAATCTCTTTCATATGAGGGTGTTATTTTACCCCCATCCCCTTCCAAATGCCCAGTGCCTCCCATTCCCTCTGCCTCAGTGCCTGGCCCCAGCTATATGCCCATCATATACCCCGACCCCAGTCAAGCTCTGTTGGACCCTACAGGTGAACATCATCCCAGCATCTTTCCATGATGGGCTCCTGCTCTATGTCCAGGCAGTAACAGAGACTCTGGCGCACGGGGGGACTGTCACTGATGGGGAAGGCATCACTCAGAGAATGTGGAACCGCAGCTTCCAAGGTCAGAGCCTGCAGGTGGCTGGAACTGGGCCCCTTGGGGAGTGCAGCACATACGCACCCACACCAGTCTTTTCCCCTCTCCTATAGAATAAGGAACCTCCAGGGCTTCCTTCAGGCCCTCCTTCCCAGGTCTGTGCTAAGCCCATCAAGAAATCTTCCTAAGTACCCAACCTCAATCTTTCCTGCTGCTGAAACATCTGTCCCTTGTATTATTATTCAACATGTATATATGTTTGGAGGACAAGACAGAGAAGATGAGGGAATAGAGAGACGAGGTGGTGGGTCTTTTAAGTAGTGAAATCTCTCTGTTATGTGGGGGTGTTGTTTTTCCCCCATCCTCTTCCAATCTCCCAGTGCCAGACACAGCCATCTTCCCCCATGCCCCCAGGTGTGACAGGCTACCTGAAAATTGATAGCAATGGAGATCGGGAGACTGACTTCTCCCTGTGGGATATGGATCCCGAGACTGGCATGTTCAGGGTAAGTTTGTGCTCTCAGAACGTAGTACCTACTCGGAATGGCATCTTGCCCTCCTACCTCCTCCCACAACCCTACCAGGGTGTCTTTTCACTCTGAAGTCACTTAGGGAGATCTTTGAATAAAAGAGATGCAGCTCCAGGCTGGAGTACTAACCAGAATGATAGGCACTCACAGGCTCTACCCTTGAGGATCTGCCATGTCTGAGAAAGAAACATAGGCCTGCTCTCAGGAAGCTCCCTGTCTCCTAAGGTAGGGAGGAGCCCCTTCCAACAGAGACAGGCAGACTCTACAGGTGCAGTTAGGAACAGGAAGGCACCAACCATCACATCATCCAGGGAAGGCTTCCTGGAGGAAGGGAACATGGATTAAGCCTGAGAATGTGATCTGAGAATTGACAGTATTCTCGTACTGTCTTTCTCTGTTTTATGAATGCTTCAACTGAAGATTATAAACTCCTTGAGTATACAGGTGGAGTTTTATATATAAAGCCCTTGGGTACTTTTCAAGCTTTTATACTTTAATAACATGGGGCATGGGTTTAAGTTTTCTCTGTGTCCAGTCATAGTAGGGCTTGGTAAATAGTGGGCAGCCCAGATAGAGGCTTTTGAAACAGAGATGGAGTAATTCAGAGGCATTGGACAGGAGGCCTCACTTAGCCCCTTGCCCGTCTACCGCTCCTGCTCCCCTATAGGTTGTACTGAACTACAATGGGACTTCCCAAGAGCTGGTGGCCATGTCAGGGCGCAAACTGAATTGGCCCCTGGGGTACCCTCCTCCTGACATCCCAAAATGCGGCTTTGACAATGAGGACCCTGCCTGCAACCAAGGTGATTGCCCCTACCCCTATTTTCTAGGCCTCCAATCTGGAGATGCTGCATCCCCCTACCTACCTCCAGGAGAGCCAAACAAGCTCTCTTCTTCCCCACCCTGAGGGCATTCTGGAGAAAGAGATTTCTGCCTTTTTCTGCTTTTCATCTATCATCCAAGTTCACTGATTGACTATTACAAGGTTCTTTCTCCCACTGTCTAACCAAAATCTCTCTTGCTGCAACTTGGACTCTTGCCTGCAGACTACTTCTCCACCCTGGAGGTACTGGCTTTGGTGGGCAGCCTCTCCCTGCTCAGCATTCTGATTGTCTCTTTCTTCATATACAGGTAAGTATGGGATGGGGTGGTAAGTGAGGCTGGGGAGACCTGGGGAACCAGTAGCAGAGGAAATGACAGGGACCTAGAGGGAAATGGGATGGGGGGAAGGAGAGACAGCAGGGGAAGGCAGAGGGAAAGCAGGGAGAAAAGAGATTAAAAATCCTTAGGACACAGGAAGAAAGAAGGAAATGGTACAGGGCAGGAGTAAAGAGGGGACAGGTATAGGCATGTCCAGCAGAGGTCTGGGGGGTATCCAAGAAGCAGCAGAGGAGTGGGGAGAGTGGCATTGTGGCAGGGTTTATTCTTGCCTGTGAGGTGGTTTATCTTCCCTCCCTACTCCTACAGGCCAGATGGGAAGCAATAGTTCAAAGCCTTTGGGATTGGGACCATATTAGTTGAGCAGGGATGATGACTATACCAGATGAACCTGGAGTGACGGGGGGAGAGAGAGATGAATGAGCCCCAGTCCCGCGTTTCAGTGGGAGGCATAAGGGAAGCAAAAAGGAGGGAAGAAAATCATTGCTGGTCAAGCATATACAAGTGTCAGGCACTTCCACATACTCTCTCTTTTATTCTTAAAATAATACTTTGAAATATATAGTGAGGTCCCTAATTTCCAAATGAGTACACTGAGAATCAGAGAAATGAAGTGACTACTCCATCATCACAGTGAGGCAGAACTTCACCCAAACCTCCTGATTCTCAGCCCAGAGGATATAATTCCTCTTATCAGTCTTTCTACCACCTGTTAGTCTGTCATACTGTAGTGGTTTGTGTGTTACTGTGATGCTAGATACTATGCCACAGATATTTCAAGTACCAACAGGTTCACTCATGGTGGACAGGTTTCAATGGAGCTTCCAGACTAAGACAGACTAAGAAAGATCTACTTCTGAAAATTAGCCAGTGAAAACCCTATGGACCAGTGCAGAATATTGTCTGATGTAGTGCTGGAAGATGAGCCCCCTAGGTTGGAAGACACTCAAAATGCACAGTGGCTGCTACAACGGACTTGAACATGCCAATGATCATGAAGATGGAACAGGATGGACAGTGTTTCGTTCTGTTGTACATGAGGTCACCAACTCCATGGCAACTAATAACATCAGTTTTTTTAGCATAAGCAATAGAACATGCAGTGGTTGACCAGGGCTCTGAAGCAAGACCGCAGAGCACCTGTGTCCTGTGTCAGGGGTTCAGATATGGGCTCAGATGCAGGCTTCACGTCCCCAGGAAGCTGCAGCTGGAGAAGGAGCTGGCCTCAGAGCTATGGCGGGTACACTGGGAGGATGTGCAACCCAGCAGCCTTGAGCGGCACCTGCGGAGTGCAGGCAGCCGGCTGACCCTGAGCGGGGTAAGAACAAGACTGAGTTGGGGAGAACATGAGGAGGAGCTGGGTACAGGGGGCAATGCATGCTGGGTAGGATAGAGAGTGGGGTTCTAGTCCCAGCTCTGCCTTCACTTGCTGTGTGAGTCACATTCCCTCTCCAAGACTCCCTCAGAGGACTGATGATTAAACCTTAGAGCCTCTCTCACAGGGGTCTCAACCTCAAAGGCCAAAGGAGATAATATATGTGGAAACACATTGAAAACAAATAAATAAACAAGGAAAGGATTTCATGATGTGGAATGCAAAGGAGGGTGCCACAAAGATAGAACTGGGTGGTAAAGAGGGAGCTTAAGCAGCCTGAATGGAGAGTGGGCCCATGGTGGGGGCCCATAGGCTGACCATCCCTCCTGGTTTCCTTCTCTTCAGAGAGGCTCCAATTACGGCTCCCTGCTAACCACAGAGGGGCAGTTCCAAGTCTTTGCCAAGACAGCATATTACAAGGTTGGCCTGGGGAAAGATCACAGATCCTCTGGACTAGGGCTGGGATGTGCTTGCTGGAGGGCTAGGGGAGGTCTCCAGGGGCAGAAGTACACTATTACAGAGCAGATGAGATTCCTAAGGGTGGGCTGTTGGAGTAGTTGAGGGTGCTGGAATCACCAGAAAGCCAAGCTGTTGGGGACCTCAGGGGTGGGCTGTTGGGAGCAGGTGAGGGTCCCATGGGTAGGGTGAACTGTCCTGAACAGCTCGAGTTCCCAGGGCACCAGACCATGCTCCTCACAGTGAGAGTCTCCATTCTTCGCCTAGGGCAACCTTGTGGCTGTGAAACGTGTGAACCGTAAAAGAATTGAGCTGACAAGAAACGTCTTGTTTGAACTGAAGCATGTAATGTGGGGGAGTGAGGCAGCAACCTGGGGGAGGCTCCTTGGGAACATAAGGGAGGTTGGCCACAGAACTGGTTATGGATACACCACAAAGAAAGGGCTGAGGCTGTGTCCCTGATATGGGCCTTAGCATATTGTGAATGGGAGTAGAGGGGGGGAGGTGTCACAAGATGGGAGAAGGGATTACTGGAGATATCCTGGAGGAAGTTCCTTGAAGGGGCCTCTAGGGGTGGAGGGTTTAAGAGGAAGGGGAGTAGGGAGCAGACTCTGGGGGAGGGTAGACTAAAGAACACATATGAGAACCTCCAAGGAGGGTCTGGAACAAGTCTGAAGAAAATGAATAGCATGTTAAGAAGGGGGTAGGGGGTGTCCCTGAGCATAGAGGGCAACTTGGTGAGGAGTGAGATCCCTATCAGGCTCCTGATCCTGGTTACCATCTGCAGATGCGGGATGTGCAGAATGAACACCTAACCAGGTTTGTGGGTGCCTGTACCGACCCTCCCAACATCTGTATCCTCACAGAGTACTGTCCCCGTGGAAGTCTGCAGGTGAGGACAAGGGGGATGTCAGGAAGCTTGGGTTCTAGCCCTGATTCTGCCCCTGACTGGCCGTATGACCCTAGGCAAGTCTCTCCCTCCTTCTGACTTTTACTTATCGGTAAGATAGGAGGAGTGGGAGGAGGGTGGTGGCACAAGAATCAATCCAAAGTTCTGTCCTATTCTGCTAGTTTGTATCAGTAAGACCCCTGCACCATCCTCCCACTCCCTGGGGGGTCTGCAGGGTGCAGGTGTGACTCCTGCTGCCCCAGCAGGACATTCTGGAGAATGAGAGCATCACCCTGGACTGGATGTTCCGATACTCTCTCACCACTGACATCGTCAAGGTAGGCCCAGAAGAACCCATTGGATGTGTGGGGAAGGGCCAGGCATACTTCTCTTTTGGCTGCAGTTGTAAGTCCCACTCATGCCCAAGACCTCTGCTTCTCCAAATTTCCCAGGGTATGCTGTTCCTACACAATGGGGCCATTTGCTCCCATGGGAACCTCAAGTCGTCCAACTGTGTGGTAGATGGGCGCTTTGTGCTCAAGATCACCGACTATGGGCTGGAGAGCTTCAGAGGCCCGGAGCCAGAGCAAGGACACACCCTCTATGCCAGTGAGCCCCAACTCTCGACCCCTAAACACCAGCCCCCAGTGCTGCCCAATAGGGAGACTGAGGCCTGGCATCTGATGGATTTGGGCACTCATTCCCTGACTCTAGGCTTAATCTGTCATCTGTAAAAAGAGGGATGTCAGACTAAGTGGGCTCTCAGGTCTCTGTTAGCTCTAACATTTTAAGTGTGACATGTTCAGATCATTTCTGGCCACATCCTTTCTAGGTCTTGTTTTCCATTCATCCCTTAGCTCTGGGGCCCTTCCCCAAGAGGTGACTCCTAACCTCTGACCTGCAGAAAAGTTGTGGACAGCTCCTGAGCTCCTTCGAATGGCTTCACCCCCTGCTAGGGGCTCCCAGGCTGGTGATGTGTACAGCTTTGGGATCATCCTTCAGGAGATTGCCCTAAGGAGTGGGGTCTTCCACGTGGAAGGCTTGGACCTCAGCCCCAAAGGTGAGAGGACCATGCCATCACCTTACCCCTGCCATAATTTCAACTAACCCCAGTTCCAGAAAGAGTTGTTGTTGTTAGTTGTCATCAAGTTGATTTTGACTCATAGCGACCCTATGTGTACAGAGTAGAACTGCTCTATAGGGCTTTCAAGGCTGCATCCTTTTGGAAGCATATTTCCAGGCCTGTCTTGAGTGGTGCTGTTGGGTGGGTTTGAACCACCAACCTTTCAACTAGTAGATGAGCACTTAACCATTTATGCCATCAAGGGATTCCTTCTGGAAACACCTCCCAGACTTTCCCTCTGGAATGGGGCTCAGCTGCCATCCTTTGTTCCATTGCTTCCAATGACTCTTGAGGAATTTATTAGCCCAATTCTCTGCTCAGCTCCCAAACCATGCCCCAACTGGTTGCTCTCAGTCTCTCGATAAGCCCTTGGCCAACCCCACCTCTCAGCCCCTTCCCCCCAATACAGAGATCATCGAGCGTGTGACTCGGGGTGAGCAGCCCCCCTTCCGGCCCTCCCTGGCCCTGCAGAGTCACCTAGAGGAGTTGGGGCAGCTGATGCAACGGTGCTGGGCCGAAGACCCACAGGAGCGGCCGCCCTTCCAACAGATCCGTCTGATGCTGCGCAAGTTTAACAGGTGGCTAGCATTCATTATGGATTTCCCCAGCCTCCCCCAAGTCTCACAGCCACCATATACCCCTTCTCCCTGCACTGGCAGAATGAACCTTCTTACAGCCCCCCCCCCCCATGCATAGCCTACACCACAGCCTCAAATTCCCCTTTACAAATACTGGATGACTCAGTTATACCCATAGCCCCCTACCTTTCATACCCCTTTGGCCACCAACATCACCACCCCACATCTTTACTGTCCATTCCTCTCCACTGGCCCCTAGTTCTTTCAGTAGTGTGTGGAGTAAACAGGCCTCACACCCCTGATCTCACCTCCTCCCCTACAGCCTCTCTGCCCTTCACAGGAGCTTCCACCTCTTAATCTCCCTTTCCCTATGTGCCCATTGGGGGCCCAGTTCCTCCCAAACACATCTCTTGGCAGCCTGTGTGTTCTCAGACCATCTGTTCTCAACTGACCGTTGTCCCTTTCTGCCTCCTCTACATCCTTCTAACTCACTCATGTTTAAGAAAGACTAGCAAAGTATTTGGAGCTTTGATAGCATAATGCCCAAGGTACTTGACTGGTAACCAGAAGTCTGGTGGTTCAAACCGACCAGCTACTCCTCAGAAGGAAGGCTGGGCAATCTACTTCCGTAGTGATACTGCCTCAGAAACCCAAGGAGGGGCCGCTATGAGGTGGGTCCGACTCAATGGCACATAACCACAGCAAAGTATTTGATATGTCTGAAATTCATGTCTGACTCTGGGGTCTCAGCAATACATTGAATTTTCTTCCTACCCTCTTCCCCTGCCACTCCTATTCTCTGTACCCCCAACCGTAATCCCCCTGTACTTGGGGTGGGCTGACATTAAGCCTGGGTCACACCCCTCACTGCCACCCCTACCCTCAGAGAGAACAGCAGCAACATCCTGGACAACCTGCTGTCCCGCATGGAGCAGTACGCCAACAACCTGGAGGAGCTGGTGGAGGAACGTACACAGGCGTACCTGGAGGAGAAGCGCAAGGCCGAGGCCCTGCTCTACCAGATTCTGCCTCAGTGAGTGCCCACATCTGGTGAGCCTTCCTGCAGCCCCTGTCCCAGCCCCACCGCATCTCTTGACCCTGCACTGTCTCTGACCCCTCAGCTCAGTGGCTGAGCAGCTAAAGCGTGGAGAGACAGTCCAGGCTGAGGCTTTTGACAGTGTTACCATCTACTTCAGTGACATTGTGGGCTTCACAGCCCTGTCAGCAGAGAGCACACCCATGCAGGTAAGCAGCTGGCCCCTCAGCTCCAGGCCTCAGAACAGGCAGGTTAGCTCCGCTTAGCTTCTCTATCCTGTCAGGCTTGTCTTTGGGTTCGTTTTTCCCACCTGACCCCAGGTGAGGTCTCTTATTTGCCGTCCCTCTTGGCTTCCCTTCTCTTCCAGGTGGTGACCTTACTCAATGACCTGTACACTTGCTTTGATGCCGTCATAGACAACTTTGATGTGTACAAGGTGAGGGTGGAAGTAAGGATGGGAAGGAACAGACAGACACGGGTAGGATCAGAAAGTTGAGGGACAGGCAGAATGTCTTGGGAGAGGACACCAAGAACAGTGCAGAGATAGTGACAGACACAAGGCGTTCCAAGAACACACAAAGAAAGTTTGGGGATGAGGGAGGGGCAAAGGCAGCGGTAGGCTGATAGGGGACAAAATGACAGTGCACATGAAGTGGCAGGCGGCACAGGAAACAGAAAATTCCAGCCCTCCTGTCCTGACAGAAGGAAGGTTGGGCAATCTACTTCCGTAGCGATACTGCCTCGGAAACCCAAGGAAGGCTCGCTATGAGTAGGGTCCGACTCCACAGGACATAACAACAACAACCACCTGTCCTGCACCTCTGTTCCCGCAGGTGGAGACGATCGGCGACGCCTACATGGTGGTGTCTGGACTCCCGGTGCGGAACGGTCGGCTTCACGCCCGCGAAGTGGCCCGCATGGCTCTAGCGCTGCTGGACGCGGTCCGCTCGTTCCGCATTCGCCACCGGCCCCAAGAGCAGTTGCGCTTGCGCATCGGCATCCACACAGGTGTGTCAGCCGAAGGGGAGGGGGCATCCCAAAGGCCGCAGCCCAGCCCCGGCCCTCTCCCATCATACAACACACACTCACACACGGCTGGGTTCCCACTAGCTTCAGCTCCCGCTGTCAGCCACTGCTGGAGCGCCCGAGCCTCGCTTTGTGCTCCGCTCCCACTGCCATCCTGCCCCACCTCTACCACCCCAGCTGATCAGCCCTGCTCCCTCTTCTCAGGTCCCGTGTGTGCTGGCGTGGTAGGGCTGAAGATGCCCCGTTACTGTCTCTTTGGGGACACGGTCAACACGGCCTCACGAATGGAGTCTAACGGCGAAGGTACAGAGTCCCTGCTTGGGGGGATGGAGAGGGCCGGGAACCAAGGGAAATTCCACAAAGCCTGTGCCTTGGCCGTTCTTATCTTTTCATAACGGTTCAGCCTGAGCGATTCACCTTTAATCCAATCAGAAACTCAGGTCCCTGCTGCCTCCTCTTGCCAAATGATTAAAAAGTATTCCCGGGCCACCGTTCAACAATTCCCATCAGAAATCCCGCTTTCAGGGCCCCTCTGCTCCCCCCTTGGTGTGGTAAGAGGGCTTCAGCCAGCCCACTTGGGTGGGAATCTTGACTCTACCAGTTACAGCTAGCTGTGTGTCCATCTGCTACACCTCTCTGAACCTGGGTTTTCCTTATCTAGAATAAAACTAGGATAAAATAACCATTAAAAAAAAAAAAAAAAAAACGCTTAGCATGCAATTGTCATTCAACCTTTTTGAGCCTCAGCTATTTATTTGTCAGGGATGATCTTTCTCAGGGTTGAAAAGAACCCAGTGCAACCCCTGGCACATAATAAACCCACTATCATAGAGTGGATTTCAACTCTCAGCAACCCTGTGGGACAGAATACAACTGCCCCAGAGGGTTTCCTAGGCTGGAAATCTTTATGGAAGCAGATTGCCAAATCTTCCTATGGAGCACCTGATGGTTTCAGACCACTGACCTTTTGGTTAGCAGCCAGATGCCTTAACCACTGCACCACCACAGCCTCTTGGCCTACCTGATGGTACCTAGTAAATGCTTGCTCCCATCCCTTCCGTTGGTCTTGCCTCCTGTTTCTCTTCTATCTTGCTCTATTCAAAACAATTCAATTCAGTAAACATGTATTGAGTAACCACTGAGTGACAGACACGACCCAGACCCGTAGGTAGCTGGGGAGTCCATGTGGACATCATTCCAGCTTCACGGTGAGAGAAGGGTCATCCCAGGGAGTCCAGAAGGGTCTGGGTCAGCAGATATTTCCTGACACTGTGTTTGGGGCTGTGGGTATAGGAGAGAGTATCTCACTGGAGCCCAGTCCTCATGGGCGCATTCTCAGAAATAGTTCAACAGCAAAATAAGGCAGCTGTAATGCAGGTCCCAGGAGTGGTAGGGACATGAGGTTAGAGGGAACTGTGGGGAATACTGGCTGGGAGTTAAGATACATTGGGTCTGGGCCTCACTCCATTATTGACCTCAGCAGCTTGGGCAGATCTCTCCCAGTCCCTGGGTGGTGCATAAGGTTGATAGTTCAAACCCACCCAGCAGCACCATAGAAGATTTGTTTCCATAAAGATTACAGATAAGAAAACCTTATGGAGCAGTTCTACTCTAACACATGGGGTTGCCATGAGTTAGAATCAACAGCACAAGTTTCCCTTCAGTTCATTTCCTTACCCATAAAATGAGTGTGTTGAATTGAATAATGCAGATAGCAACCACTATTATAGTGCTTCCTATGTGTCAGATTCTATTGAAATATTTCATGAATATTAAATTCAATCTTCACCACAAGATTTGAGATGTATATTGTCACTACCAGCATTTTTACAGATTAGGAAAGTGAGGCACAGATTGTTTGTATTCCTTACCCAAGGTTTTGCAGCAAGCGTCACAGCTGGGATTCATACTGATGCAGTTCAGAATTCAAAGGATGGATTCCTAAGCACTGTGCTATACTGTCTCTCTGTTGTTGTTGTTGTTATTATGTGCCATTGAGTCAGCCCCGACTCATAGTGACCCCTCCTTGGGTTCCCAAGGCAGTATCACTACTGAAGTAGATAGATTTCCCAACCTTCCTTCTGAGGAGTGGCTGGTGGGTTTGAACCTCCAGCCTTCTGGTTAGCAGTCAAGTGCCTTAGGCACTATGCTACCAGAGCTCCTACTATCTCTCTAGAGCCTGGTAACACTCTAGAACAGTGCTATCCAATAGAACTTACTGCAGTGATGAAAACATTCCATTATCTGTACCATCCAGTGTGGTGGCCACTAGACATGTGGTTAATGGTCACTTGAAATGTGGCAAGTGCAACTGAGGAACTAAATTTTTAATTGTATTTAGCTTTACTTAATTTAAATTTAAATGGCTACACATGACTGGTGGCTACCATTTTGGACAGCACAGCTCAACAGTTCTAAGGGAGAGGCCAAGATGGTAGGACCATCAGGTGATATCACATTGAGAGGGTGGGACTTGAATCAGACTCTGAAGTAGGAAGATTCCTGGGCCAAAAGCAAGTAGGGAGAGCATGTCTATACACAGTCCTTGGTCTCCTCTATTCACATCTCCCCTTGGAACTCTCATCTTCCCTTCTTCTCCTTTATCCTCCCCAGCCCTGAAGATCCACTTGTCTTCTGAGACCAAGGCTGTCCTGGAGGAATTTGGTGGTTTTGAGCTGGAGCTTCGAGGGGATGTAGAAATGAAGGTCAAGAAGAAGTCTTTGCCCTCACCACCCTGGGGGTCCCAGAGGCTCCTGGGTTACCCTCCCCTGGCCCCTTCTCAAGCAGCCAACCTCACTCCTATCCCTCAGCCTTTCATATGCGGTCATGCCACTTCCTGCCTCAACCTCCTCCTCTTTTTCCCTGCAGGGCAAAGGCAAGGTTCAGACATACTGGCTCCTGGGGGAGCGAGGGAGTAGCACCCGGGGCTGATCAGCCTCTCCCCCAGCCCTCCACACCATCCCCTTCCCTGTGCCAGAAGAGACAGAGAGGTGCCAGGCCTCAACCTCGACCACAGCAGCTCTACCATTGCCAAAGGATCACAGAAATGGTTTGAACAGCTCAGGTGTGCTGACCCCAGTAGAGATAACAGATATTATCTCTGAAAGAGGCCTGGTGTTGGGGAGAACTTGGAGCTCACAGACCTGGACCAAAGCACACAGTCACGCACAGTGGCACACACGTAAGCACACGCACTTGCTTTCCACCCAGGCCAGGCTGGGATGCGGATTTCTGGATCCTCCTCCCTGTCTCTATGTACCTCCCTTAATCTTGATACACTGTGACTTTTATGGGCAGAAAGAAGAACCACCTTAGTAGGAATATGAAAAGAAACTATAGGTGAATGGGGTGGTGGGAGTAGGAGTCCACTTCTGGGCCAAGTCCACTTCTGGGCCAAGTCCACACGGGCCACTAACACCCCCTGTTCCTACCACTCTATCAACTGGATTACACAGGGGAACAGGGGCATCCAGAGGGGCTGCAGGGCTTGTATGCATCACTTCTACTGTGAGCTGAGACCATTAAAATCCTTCTTCCAGTGCCAGTGTCTCTTCTTGAGGGGCAGAGGGTTGATGGAAAACACAGCCATGTTCTCCACCCTTTATTTCAAATAAGATATGCTTCTTAAGCTGGGAATGCCGTGTCTGAAAAAGGCTGCAGCTCATCCTCAATTTTGAGACTACCTGTAACAGTAAAGACTGTTTTAGTCAATAATTAATGTCTGCCATAGGTATAATATGGGAGCTCTGGTGACATAGGCCTAAGGTGTTTGACTGCTAACCAGAAGACTGGTGGTTCAAACCCACCAGCCACTCCATTGAAGGAAGACTGGGCAATCTACTTCCATAGAGATACCACCTCAGAAACCCAAGGAGGCATCACTGTGAGTTGGAATGGCAGTGAGTTTGAGGTTCTTTTGGGTATGTAACAGCTTGTGAATTATCCAATGGTGCTGAAACTTTTTAGTCTCAGGACTCAATTGTTCCCCTTAAGAATTATCGAGAGTCCCAAAGAGTTTTTATTTATGTGGGTCATATCTATCGATATTCACCATATTATAAATTAAAACAAATACTCATTTATTAATTCATTTAAAGTAACAATAATAAACCCATTTAAAAAAAAGAAGAAGAAGAAGAACCAAACCCACTGTCATCAAGTTGATTCCTACTCATAGCAATCAATCCCCATTGGGTTTCCAGGGTGGTAAATCTTTGTTGTTGTTGTTATGTGCCATTGAGTCAGACCACACCTGACTCATAGAGACCCCTCCTTGGATTTCTGAGGAGAACCCTCCTTGGATTTCTGAGACGTTATCACTACGGAAGTAGACTGCCCAATCTTCCTTCCGAGGAGTGCCTGGTGGGTTTGTATCACCAGCTGTCTGGTTAGCAGTCAAGTGCCTTAGGCACTATACTACCAGAATTCCTGGTAAATCTTTACAGAAGTAGATTGCCCCATTTTCCTTCTGTGGAGCAGCTGGTAGGTTTGAACTGCCAACCTTCTGGTTAACAGTCAAATGCCTTAGGCACTGCACCACCAGAGCTCCTTAATAAACCTATTACATATTAATAATTTTTACTGCTTTATCAAGGACATTCTTAAAAGAAACTTTTATGCTTCTTGTTCACTGCCAATGTATGGTAGTGATGAATACAAGGTTTGGTGCTGCTACCTTGATATGCACTAAGACACTAGCAGTTTTAGACACCATTTCTTTTGCACCATTAGTGCAAATGTCAACCCAGTAAAAAAGAGTAAATAATCTATTAGTTATTGTTGGACGCCATGAAGTCAGTTCTGACTCATATGTATAACAGAAATGTTACTTGGTCCTGTGCCATCCTCATAATAGTAGGTATGTTTGAGCCCATTGTTGCAGACACAACATTAGTATTATTATGAAAATCTTTTACCCTCACTGATCCCCTGAAAAGGTCTTGGCCCCCAGGAATCTGTGGACCATACTTTGCGAACCATTACATTACCCAGTGTCTGGCATACGGAGGGAATATAAACAGTGTGGAGAGTCCCAGCATCCCCTATCCCAGGAGGCCTAGGAGCCAGGAAGTGTGTGTGGGGGGGTGGCTTACGGATCTCTTTTACCCTTTGTCAAGACTCTAATCTGGACACTGGAGGGTGCAACCTCAGTTGAGACTTGGGAATACTACCTGTCCCTCCATTCCCCATGCCAGTATGGAGGAACAGTGAGTGACAGCTTACAAAATGCCTCTCAGCTGGGCTAAGGGCCCTCCTTTCCCTGCTCTAGGCACCCACCACACCCCACCCCCTTCCTCAGCAGGCAGGAATGCAGGGGAGAGGTGGCTGCAACTTCACCTCCCCCATGGGGAAGAAAAGTGCCAGACATTTCTTCAGTACCATTCATCAAGTGCAGACAGGCCCCCTCCCCCATCTCCCCAAGCCTCTTCCTGGAGTCCACTGCCCAGCGGGACCTGGAGGTACGGGTGGGCTCCAGGAAGCCTGGAGGTGTGGCTTCAGGGTAGGGCTCCCTGACTCTCAAGTGGTGATTTGAGGATAAAGAGTAAGTTGTTCCCCCTCCTGCCTGGGACTCTTCTTAATGTTCTGTGCTCCCTACCCACCCTTTTTGGCCCCAGTAAGACTTGATTTATTGTGAAGGAGCTTACACAGTGAAGTCCTTCTCACACTGAGGATGAATAGCTCTGGGAAGATCTTACAGAAGGATGGTTGTCCTAGCAACCACAGCATGCTCAGCTTCCTGGTGGGTCCTGGTGGCCATGTTGACTCCCACGTCCCCATGCTCCCAGGGGTAGTAGCCCCAGAGGAGAGTGGGTAGAGGAAGAGAACTGTGGGGGCTTAAGAAGCTAGATCAGGATGGGAGCTGTAATACCTAGAGGGACTGGGCCTTTGGGGAGGGGAGAGTGAAAAAGAGAGGTGGGGAAGGAGGGGGGCAGGGAGCTGGATGACTGAGGAGCTCCAGCAAGACAATTCTAGGAAATTGCCGGTCAGATCCTTCCGGGGCAGCCTGGCTCCACTGCGGGCACTAGGAGGGGAGGAAGGTTGTGGGGGTGGGTGTAAGAAGGCCCAAGGAGTCGATCATTTTAGCAGCTGGAGAACTTTCACTGGAACTGAGGAGATTTCCTTCCGGAGGAAGGCCCCTGAAGCCAGGAAGAACTGGAAAAGCCATTACTGAGGAGGGGTGGTGGTGCCTAAGGGTAGCAATAACACCCCTATCCCAAGCAGGGGAGACCAATTTGTGGCAGGAACCTCCACCCAAAAGGGAGGAGCAGTCAAGCCTCAGAGTTTCAGGTTCTCCTGCTGAGTAGGTTTGGGAGGGGTTGGGGGCAACTGGGTTTCCCTGGAGTATGACAAGAACAATAACAACAGTAATAGTTGGCATTCATTTGTGCCTTGCAGTTGACAAAGGCTTTCACATACATTATCTCATCAGTGCACGTGACACCCTTGGAAGAGGAACCAGCCCAAAAAGCAGCTCAGCTGTGGGTAGGAGGACCCAGCTGAGGTCCAGCTGTAGGTAGGAGGGTCCAATGCAAGGCAGTGTTCAGAGAGGGAACCTCAGCCCAACCAGCCCTGCACAAGGCCAGGGCCTGGAAAAAAATAGGAGCTGACAGAAGAAGACAAATATTCTTTCCCTGCCCCCTCTTTTCTCTACGTCAAAGGCCTTGGGTAATTTATCTATCATCACAGTACATTTAGTAACAATTATTATTTTCTTTAATGATTTATATCCTTAAGGACAGATTGGTGGAATCTAATTAGCAGCAGAAGCCGCTTTTGCAGCCTTAAGGTTATTTTTTAATTAAATTTCAAGAGCTATGAAAATATCAAAATAAACCATAGAAAATACCATCCAAGGAGATTTAATCTTGCTGGTTTGGAACGAAAGCAAAATTCCAGGAGAGGTGTTTACCACCAAGATGAAGGGTTGAGATGCTGATGAATTTAGTGTTGCAAAAGCAGAGGAAGGATGCTTAGGAAGAGGATGAAATCATACCTCTGCACCTGCTCCCAGATCCTGTTCTACCAGAAAAAAAGGAGGTGAGGGCAGGAATCTGCTTGGCTGTAGTGCTAACCCAAGGCTTAGAGAATCAGCAAGGGGGTTTAGATAGGAGAACATCCATCCCACCTACCTGTTCCATATCGCAGACATTGTACCTATAAGTGTGAGTGGCTGGGCTGGAATTTTTCCAAAGCAAAGTTTCCATAATCTACTTGTATTCATTTTCTAGGACTACCATAACAAATATCACAAATTGGGTGGCTTATAAGAACAGAAATTCATTGTTTTGCATTCTGGAGGTTGGAAGTTCAAATCAGGTATTGGCCATGTTGATTCTTTCCAAGAAACTCTTCCATACCTCTCTCCTAGCTTCTGGTAGCTCCAGGCATTCCTTGGCTTGCAACTGCAGTGGCATCCTTCCTCTGTTTCCCTTTGTCTGTGTATTTTCACTTTTGCAAGGACACTAGTCATAGGATCAGGACCCACTCTACTCCAGCATGACCTCGTATTAACCTAACTGATAATATCCTCAAAAATACACTTTCCAAAAAGGTCACATGCACAGGGATTAGAGTTAGGACTCCAACATACCTTTTTTGGGGGGACACAATTCAATCCATAACACAAGTACATCTGTTAATCAATGTAGTACCCCTTCTGGGTTTTATGTGACTAGCCTAGTATTACTCTCTGCCTTTGGCTTCCAAAAGTGTACTGCATATGATATACTTTGACTATTGGTATGTGGAAATTATCAAACAATATCATTAATATCACATGCAAGTAAAATCTTGCTGAAGATAATACAAAAACAGTTGCTGTAGTATGTTGACAGAGAGCTTCCAGAAATGCAAGCTGGATTCAGAAGAGGACAAGGAATGAGGCAGATCATTGCTGATGTCAAATGGATCTTGGCTGAAAACAAAGAATA